AGAAATACTTAACTGCCGGACGACGGTACCACTCTCATGAGGAGTTTTTCTCTCTTTTGTCTTAAGTTTCCTTCTCAAAAGGGTCCTCCTGATTCAGACAATTTGATTTTGGGACCTGGAGAATTTGACTTACTTTAGAATGCTTTTCAACTTGACTTATTTATCAATCCAACTACACCATTTAATCACAATTTCCTCCAATTTCATGATTCTCAAACCAATTTCATATTTCCACATCATTTTCATTATTTATGCAAATAACTTTTATAATTCAAATTAGGGCATTTTTCCCTTTTTCTCAAATATTGCTCCCAAGGTCAAATCTCACCCATTACACACAAACAACCCCATTTTCAAGACCTCACATACAAATGGAACCCAATAACAGGAAACCCCTCTTTTAAACATTCAAACTCAAACCCTAACTTTACCCAAAATTCTCAAATCCCACCATTTTATACAAAATGACTGACATTTATGTTAAAGCTACTCATAATCAGTAGATTATCCCTACCTCAAAGTTAGGAGCTCAAAGGAGATGAATAATGAAATTCAAGATGCTCCAAATCTACACTTTTTTTCAGAGTCTTTGGGGAGACACTCCAAGCTCTTCCCTTTGATCTTAAGAACTATGGTCTGAAACTTAATAGATTTTGGTAGATCAAAGATTTTATATGATAAATGTAACCAAAAAATATTGGGAGAGACAGACCTGAGAGCCAAGAGAGAGAGACCAAAGAGAGAGAAAGAAGAAAAATAGGGAAAGTGTTCTGCCTACCAAGAAGAAAAGAAGAAGAAAGGAAATAAGGGCAGAGACAGAGAGAGGGCCCATGTGTTGCTTTCAAAATTGTTTTTTTTTTCCTTTTTTTTTTTTTTTAAATTAAAAAAAAAATTTTTTTTTTTTTAAAAAAAAAAAATTTTTTCACCCAACACCCAAAAAAAAAAAAAAAAAAAAAAGTGTCAGGGGTTTTTTGGAGTGGAGGAAACCCGATCCCCGTTAGGAGCAGGGGTGAGGGTGATGGGTTTCCCACCGGGGATCGAGGGCGAGAACAGAAAATTTTGTACCTTCGGGGATCAGGGACGAGGAGTGTAATCCTCGACCTCGCCCTGGCCCATTGCCATTCATAGGGAGGAGGAAAACATGGAAATAGAGAGAAGTTAACTCCCTAAGGATAAATGACTTAGACTAAAGTATTATTTTTTTATTTTTTTATTTTATTGTTTTTATTCTTCAAGAAAAATATTAATAGGGATTTATAATTAAAAAAAATCTAAATATATTACCTATTTATTAATAAAATCATGAATTTTGGTAATGAGTTATGGGTATTTGTTAATAAATATAAAATTAATATATATGGCTATAAAAGTTTGTGTTAATAAAATATGTTTTACTAGTTAATTTTCTTTAGACACTCATTAACACTATCTTAAGTTAAAACCAATTAAATACTTATGTCTTTTTTATTTGAATTATCAAAATAAGTTTTTTTTTTTTAACATAAAAAGATTTATCATCCAATATGAAAATGCGTGTAATAATATATATATATATATATATAATTTTTTTAAAACTATTTTAATATATACTTTAAAGGCTTAAATTAATAATATATGTATATACACAATCATTGTTTTGTCGAAAGAAATAGCTGAGAAATGCTTCAACTATATCTAGTTTTATATCTATGAAACACAAATTGTAACATACTCGAAACTAAGACCGAAGTAACCCTTATCATTTGAGGAATAGACAATATGTAAATTTTTAAATTAAAATTAAAATTTATATTTTTTAAATTTAACAGTACACCCATTAACATAATGGAGTTAGCATAATGAAGCATTTGTTTTTCTTCATGTCAAGTGTAATTTTGTATTCCTAAGATACTTTTAATAATATTTTAAAAGAGTTTGGTTTTCCTCAAATTATCATCTCAATTTGAGAGAGTGGTTATTGTGGGTGTTGATTTCCGACCACACAACCAAGTGGGGAACTCAGCTGGAGAGCACTGCCAAAACAGATTAAGTCCAAACAACCTGTCACAGAAAGATAAAAATCTGGCGATGGTTCGTCCACCTGTGGGCACTCCGACGATCAAGTCTGTAATCAAATATCTCTCAAAGATAGCAAATTGTGCTTAATCTCACAAGAAATAACTTACCTTAGACCCACGAGGGTGTGCTGCTTTTATAATCAGCAGTGACCTAGTTCCGCTAGAAGCCTCACTCCATAGGACTCATGCTTCATGCTCATCCTAGACCCTTAACTAGATAAAGATAAACTCTTCTTGAGCCTTATTGCTATCCAGACTAAGACCCTCCCATGTTCTAGGACTCTTGTCCCTTATCTACTTATCTCGGATTCCGGTATCTCCGCAGATAACCCCGACCTAGCCGAGATCACCTCGGCAACGTGACCAGGCCACGTGGCACCTCGACTAACACTCCGATGTCACCTTAGCCACATGCTATCATTCACAAAATACTCTCCCACAGTTATACTTAGTAGGCCCATTTTGAAATCAATTCCGATAATTTGAATCGTTTACTTTTTTTGGACTCATTGAGTAGAATATTCATGTAAAAAATCTAGATGATTGGACATCACTAGCTATATATTTGAATCATATTTGTTTTAGAGTTGGATTTCTCTCATGTTGGTATCTTAACATGAAAGAATTTGAGGGATCCATATTAATTTTTTATATTAATATTCTACTCAACGAGTACTAAAAAGTGAACGATTCGGATTATCGAAATAGAACCTATGATCAACATGAAAGAAGCCAAACCCATCTTCAAACTCCATCCATAATCCCATAATCAACATGGAAATTAATATATAAAATAATGAAAGAAGCCAAACCCATCTTAAAACTCCATTCTTAATCCCATGATCAACATAGAAAATAATATATAAAATAATAATTGTTACTTGGGTTTTAAATTTATTTATCAACATATTACAAAAATAAAATTATATTTTATTTATTTATAAGGCTAATTACACAGACCTCTCTAAGATATTTGATAATTATACAAACCTCTCCTGTAATTTCTGTAATTACACGGGCCTCCAAATTGGTACACAATGGTGTTAATATTGCCATTGAAATGACAAAAATACCCTCTATAAAAATACTATTAAATAATGTAGCCCTAGCAAAATCCCACTATGATAAACCTAGTATATTACATAAATTATATATACCATGTTTTAATCATCCAAAAATAAAATAAAAAATGCATATATATATATATATACATACAACATTATACCAATTTCCAACCTAAAATAGTAATAACTTAATTTTAAATTTAAAGTATAAATCATTCATACATAGTAAACTTCTTGAACCATGGCTCTTTCAGTGTACTTTAGTCTGATACTGTAGTTAGCCCCTTATGCACAACATTTGAACCAATATCCATCATAAGAAACTCGAGCTGTTGACACAATCTCAGCACCTGTGTTTGCCATGAACAGAAATTAGAACTCTAAATCAGCATCATTTAACATCATCAGACAGCAACTAACAACAATCTCCAAATGATAAAGATTAGAAAGATTAATATATGTTTACATAGATAAAGAGCGTTTTTAGAATTGTGAGAGATGATTAATAGAGCATAATATAAAAAGAAAGATTATAAAAAATAAATAATAAAAAAAGATAAAAGAAAGGAGGTAAAGAAATGAACAAAAGAAATTTGAGAGAAAATATTAAGGCAAGTTTTTAACATATAATTTGTGGAACGCTCTTAGGATTGGAATCATCGTTATCAATCAAAACCAAACCGCTTTCCACAGGGTTGGTTGGTTTGGTTCCATTCCATAATTTACATGATTTGGTTTGGTTCCCTAAAATTTTGAAACTGTTGAAATCGGTTCTATTTTTAATTTACCTCAGAACTGGAACAAACTGAACCAAGTACACCACTATCAAATTGCATAAAAATCACTTAATATATAGAACACTAACACAATTAAATTTGCCACTAATGATACGTTTGAATGACATTTGCTTAGATAACAATAATATAAGGATTTCCATGTATGAAAAAGTACATCAAATGAAAATTGTAGAAAATCAAGTACAAAGAAGCACATCACCTTTGTTAAAAAAATAAATAAATAAAAAGAAGCACATCATCTCTGTTTGATCACCCCTAGTCCCAAAACTTGGAATTGCTAGGAAAGGGTTGCCACCTTGAGTAAATCGACACCCTTGAATTTTTTGAAAATTGAGAAACACCTAATACTTCAACTAACAATATGCAAAAACAACCCCTTGGTTGCTCAATCATTAGGAAAGATGCTGACATCGGCAAAAATTGTGTAATGCTAATAATACTCTTGAATTGTTCTGCAGACATAAGTATCCATTCATGGTAGAGTTGGAGGAGAGCAGATCACAAGACAACCCTTTATTTTGGCATAATGCTAACATTAATACTGAAATAATCATTTTTGGTACAAGGGTAAGCAAGTAAAATCAAGCACGTTGTAACATCTGTCAACCCTTAGTTTTTGACAGGGATTTTCTAGTAATTTCAGAAAACTGTAGGGTGTCCCGGTATTTGTTAGAAACCTCAGGGAGTGTTTATGCAATTTACCTAAATAAAAATCACAAGCACAGCTAAGGTGCAAAATGTGAGCAGGCTTCAGTTAGTAATCAATATCAATACGAGGTCCAAGAAGTAAAGGCATAGTAATTATAGCAGTCCTAAAATAAGGAACTCAACTAATTTCTACCTCTTAAGAATTTGAGAGAGCAAAACTCACCTTCAAGTCTCAAGAGAAGCAATTCATTGAGCGAAACAAGAAACTTATATCATCTATTACAACATGTTTCTATGCATTTTTACATAACATTATATTATAATTATAAAAGCATATACTACTAAAGGACAGGCTTATTCTTCCTTGCTAGTTTGTTTGTTTTTTCTCTTTTTTCAATGAAGTCTTTCATCATGCTGAAAATGCACCAAATTCGGCCACCAAATACAACACCACACCAAAGATCACATAGAATATTAACCATGCATTCTCAAGCCAACGAACTTATTAAATCAAAAAAAATTAAAAAGATCTAGAGACACAATAATAGACCATTGAATCAGGTTTCAATTTTCAATTGAATGATAGCATAAGAGGAGACTAAGGAACACAAGAATCAACAAGGTTAAAGGACTATGAAGCACAGATACTTCTAAAAAGGCAACGTATCCGTATTGTATCCGTATCAAATACCGATACTCCTTAGATATTCACAGATATGTATTGGATACTTACTAAAAGTATCGGACACTTCTTAATTAATTTTGAAGAATCGGATACTCCAAGTCCCGTATTACTTTCACAAAATTAGAATTGTAGTATTTATTGCATAGCATTATAATATAATATAAGTGTGAGGATAAATACAAAAAAAATAAAATAAAATAAATTAATACTTTGCTTAGTTCTTTGATAAGAAGAACATAGTGAAGTAAAGTAATTTAATTTGTCAAATTGACTTATTCTTATTGTGCCATGCATGTCAATTAGAAAATTAAATAAAAATTAAATATCGTTATTCTATTATTGTAATAAAAACATACTAGACTTGATATTGAAATGAAATATTTGTAAGACCAATTAAAAGTTAAAAGAAGTAAACTAGCTACCAACTTAAATTAATATCTATTTATTAAAGATTAGTATTTTGTATTATTTAATTACAGTATGATTTCTCAACATTCTTGAGCTCATGCATAACTGACTACTAATAATTTTTTTAAAATATTTTTTTTATAAACATATCCTAACCGTATCCAAATCCTATTTTCTAAAATTTTGTCGTATCATCGCATTCATATCGTATCCGTATCCATTCTTCCTAGTTAAAGGATCAGATCGAGGATGTATGTTGGAAATACTGGACATCATTTGTAAATATTTGAAGATTCAAGCAACCCTACAATGTTGGAGATTCTTTGTTATTCCAACATAGACATAATAGAACACAGTAAGGAACCAATTAATGCAAGTGAGATATAATATCAAAGAAAGTAAGAAACAAGAAAAGGAAGAACTGTTACCTCTTTCTTGAGTATGTGAGGAACACTCCCAATTGATACAAGGCTGTTAAACTCTGCAGATAGGTTTGGTTCCTTAATTCCAGACCACATATGAGAGGGTAGGGCCAACAACAACTTCGTTAGAGCATCATTGCCAATTAAATGGCCATTGTTTACACTGCAGCCACTTGGACTTGGATTAATAGTTTGGATCATTTTACCAGGCCCTTGCTCCCGGTTGCAGGTAACTGGCTCACTCATTTCAACAAAGACACCATCATAATTGCCTTTTGCAGAACCCGCTGAATCTGTAGAGTGTAATCGACCAAAAGAACCAGGGTTCAATGTTGAATGCTTGACCCCACCCGAAGCCACATTTGCTGCAATCTCAAGCAAAGCATGCTGATTGCCAAAACTTGTCACAAATCCGTTGTCAGAATTCATAGAATCCATCCATTGGCTGACTCGCTTATGCAATTCTGTCTCCCGTAATTGCATTAATAACTGGTCCTGAAACCCAAAAACAAGAAGCTAAATTATAAGATAATCTTCAGATAAAATGGGAGAGGTTAGAAAGAGCAAGGGAGAAGGGAAAGAGGTTTCAATTTCAACATGTGAGTAGCAGGAAGCATATGTAGCAGAGGATAAATGACACCTGGGTAGTAAGCCTTTTCCTCTTCCTTTCGCTTGAAGGAACATGCCCATCCTTCCCTTGGGCTTGAACAACTTGCTTAATAAACACACTGAAATTGGTAGAGACTGACATAAATAGAACGGATAGAATTTGATTAACATCTTTTACATCCTCTGACTCTAATAGAAGGGGTATTTGTGAAAGATGATTTGCAGTCCTAATCCAACTCCCATCACGACAACTCTGCACAAAGTGTTGATATCACCCCATGTGAAAGGGGTGATTCTCTTCATTGTGAAAGCATCACACAATGTCCTTGATTGCGGCTACCAACCGACAAGCCGCAAAGTAAGACGATCCACCTTTGACTGACTAGCTGGCCATGTGCAAGGCCAGCCAGCTCTCTCCCTTTGGTGTGTATAAATAGAGGTAGAGAGAGCAGAGGGAAGTGTGGTGAGTTTAAGAGTGAATACAGAGAGAGAGTGAATTATAATTCTTCCATTTCTCCATATAGTGAAACCCGCTGCCCGTAGACGTAGGTGACTTGCCGAACCACGTTAAATCTCTTGTGTTATTGCGTGTATGTGTTTCTTGGTGTGCCCCCGATCCACAACAATTGGTATCAGAGCTCGGGTGGTGAAAAATCGAATTTTTTTTGAAAGTGCCCAGATTTCGAAGTACTCGAAATCCACTCTTGAGCATACCAGGAGGAAGCCCTTGAGGAGAGGAGTTCAGAACAGCAAAGAACAGACAAAACAGAACTTCGAACCAGAATCTCACGCGCAGCTAGAGGTTGAAGATGACCATTCTATAGCCAATCCAAACACTTTAAATATTTGTTTGTGGAAATTACATTACAAGGGTCATACTTGGCAGAGTGGTTAGAGCCTTTGGCATCAATATAACTCACTCTCTAACTCTCTTCCACCAGTAAAGTTTTTCAGAGAGTGAGAGAAGCCGCTGCGCTAACCAGAATAACAAAGACAATATATATCGGGATGCACTTGCAGCCGGCACCAAGGACGAAGCACTAGCACTGGTAAGAAATGGCGACCCAAAATGTTTTTGGTTAAATTATGACAAGTTGTCATCAAATTATGACCGGATTTCATTTAATCCACCATTGCCGTATGTTCATCCATTTACAGACACAGTATGGGTCGTTCCAACAGCAATACAGCAATGGGTTGCAGACAATATAGGAGACGAAGCCCAAAGACCGCATAGGCCCAAAAGTATTATAATTAAAGGCCCATCTAGAATTGGGAAAACATGTTGGGCCCGGTCTTTGGGACCACATAATTATTATTCTGGCCACATCGACTTGAGGGACCACAAGAACGACGCTTTCTACAACATAATCGATGATGTGGCCCCACAATATTTGAAACATTGGCGCGAGTTTATTGGAGCGCAACGGGATTTTTTTTCAAATTGTAAATATGCCCGCCCAAAGAAAATAACGGGCGGGATTCCAAGTATTATATTATGCAACCCCGGAGACGACTCCAGTTACAAAGTGTTTTTGGAAAAACATGAACACGCCGGGCTCAAAGCGTGGACGTATCGAAATGCAGAATTCTATACAGTCAACGAGCCCCTGTTCGCCAGAACCAGTGAAGAAGAGGCATCGTAATGCCAAGAAGAAGGCCCAACGTAGGAAGATATTCCACTTCCAATGCGGCTGTTCGATATTCCATACAAACGGATGCGTCGAACCACATACACTGGAGAGAGAGGACGCTGTCAGGGGTCTTTTACGATACTTTGAAGAACCCGATGTGGTTCAAAGCAATAGACCTCTCCAGACCGGGCAATCAGGAGGTCTACAAGATACAATGCCTATTCAACTACAACCTCTGGAAAGCATTGGGCGCGGCGCTTGCCTTTTTAGATTTTTAATCCTGACCGCAGATCTGGGCGCGGAGCGGAGACACAAGCAGACAACACGCCTCAAAATGCGGAAGGGAGCACCAATCGGGGGACGACACGTGGCGCGGGGGGAGCGTCCCAGTTAATATTAGTGGGACGCTCCAGGGCACCTATATAACTCACTCCCTAACTCTCTTCCACCAGTAAAGTTTTTCAGAGAGTGACTTGCGTCATCCGAGAGAGTAAGTGACGTCAAAGAGAGTGAGTTATGGAATCAATGCGACGTCGTTTTAGAATCCAAAACAAGAACATATTCCTCTCGTATGCCCAGTGTTCTATTCCTAAAGAGAGATTGTTAGAGAAAATTAGAGCGCTGTTCACCACCAGGGGTCCAAATTATGTGAGGGTTGCACATGAATTACATGAGGATGGGCAACCACATCTCCATGCTCTTGTCCAGTTCCCATACCGTTTTCAGACGCAGGATCAACGGTTCTTCGACGTTACCCACGATCGAAATAGTCGCTATTTCCATCCGAATGTACAAGGGGCATACAACCAACAGAATGTGCTGGAATACATCTCCAAACACGGGGATTACACGGAATGGGGTGAATTCCGTGAGAGGAGCCGCTGCGCTAACCAGAATAACAAAGACAATATATATCGGGATGCACTTGCAGCCGGCACCAAGGACGAAGCACTAGCACTGGTACGAAATGGCGACCCAAAATGTTTCTGGTTAAATTATGACAAGTTGTCATCAAATTATGACCGGATTTCATTTAATCCACCATTGCCGTATGTTCATCCATTTACAGACACAGTATGGGTCGTTCCAACAGCAATACAGCAATGGGTTGCAGACAATATAAGAGACGAAGCCCAAAGACCGCATAGGCCCAAAAGTATTATAATTGAAGGCCCATCTAGAAATGGGAAAACATGTTGGGCCCGGTCTTTGGGACCACATAATTATTATTCTGGCCACATCGACTTGAGGGACCACAAGAACGACGCTTTCTACAACATAATCGATGGTGTGGCCCCACAATATTTGAAACATTGGCGCGAGTTTATTGGAGCGCAACGGGATTTTTTTTCAAATTGTAAATATGTCCGCCCAAAGAAAATAACGGGCGGGATTCCAAGTATTATATTATGCAACCCCGGAGACGACTCCAGTTACAAAGTGTTTTTGGAAAAACATGAACACGCCGGGCTCAAAGCGTGGACATACCGAAACGCAGAACTCTATACAGTCAACGAACCCTTGTTCGCCAGAACCAGTCAAGAAGAGGCATCGTAATGCCAAGAAGAAGGCCAAACGCAAGAAGATATTCCACTTCCAAAGCGGCTGTTCGATATTCCATACAAACGGATGCGTCGAACCACATACACTGGAGAGAGAGGACGCTGTCAGGGGTCTTCTACGATACTTTGAAGAACCCGATGTGGTTCAAAGCAGTAAACCTGTCTAGACCGGGCAATCAGGGGGTCTACAAGATACAATGCCTATTCAACTACAACCTCCGGAAAGCATTGGGAATCAGGACGTTTACAGCAACAATGTGTACGTGGCTGACTTTCAGTGGTCGCAGAAGCCTGTCGGAGACTGTATTTACCCAGCTTATTGCACGCAGGATGAGGACCAAATTATCCAGCTTTGGGATTATTAGTGTAGTTAATTATTGTCTCGCACTGACTATTGTACTCGACGAAATTTCATATTATGTAAAAGATTGGCGATGGGAAAATATTTATGTAAATTTTTATGATTAAATAAAAATGCAAGTTTATTGAATTTATGTGTCTTAATAAATTCGTTTTCTGAGAGTTCAGTTGTCAGTAGTTGTGAATTTAAAGGCAAGCGCAAGCTGATTGTGTAAACAGTTAACCTATGTATGGCCCACGCGTTGATTTTTCTACATCATGGGTGATCTGTTATTATTCTGTGCCATACGTTATACAGGAACCTGATTTAAACATGGTTAACTGTTCATGTTGACCCATGTCACGGTCAACATATTACACCTATAAAATATAATCGATGTGATGCATTTTATGGCAGGTTCCTGATCATCGATTATAGCGACTACTTTCCGATTTTCGCAACGGCGTCCATATACCGCCAGAACTAAATTAAATTTTAGTCGCCGTTGGACAACCTCCAGCAGATCTGGTGTTTCCGGTCGAAGTTATTTTAAACTACGGAAACATGGTTTGTACAAAAAAACAACGATTCACGTCTAAATCGTTGTGTGATTCCATCTGGAGGATTGACGATTTTCTCCCTTATGATGAGCCTCATTTTTTCCATTTTGATTTGCCGGAGGTTGGTACTGAAAGGGATGAACGACAATCCCGAAAATTGAAGTTGTTAGGACTCTATATCCAGGGTGTAGTTTTACGTCAAACTGGTGGTCTTTCCGAACTTGCTGCTGATACGCCTGGACTGGAAAGTGACATGCGTGATGCCCCTACTCAGGCTGTGGAACAAACGGCGGACATTGATCCATCTGGTATGCTTGATAATGGCCAATGTGAATTTGTCGTTGTGTTGGACCGGTTTCCTAATCCTGCGTATACGCCTAAGTTTGAAGATGTTTTCCTGTGGTCCACTGGTGACCCACGAACTGGCTGTATGGTTAGGGGCACTGAAATAGATCGTTTTGTTGTATTGCGGCGTGTCCCCGTTGTAATGCCGCCGCAATCAAATGAATATCCAATTGTTAGCCGTCAAGGTGTTAAAACATTTATCAAGCTCGGAAATAATGTTGTATCCGAATTCCGAGATAGTTTAGGTCAATTTAGCGACGCGTACAACAATATTGTAAAAAACGCAATTATTTGTTATTTTGTGTGGGAATGTCGCACAAAATCGATTGTAAGAGCGCATTTGAATTGTCGATTGAAATATTGTTATTAATAAAATAATTGATTACAAATATTTTATAATCGTCTCCGTTGTACATTTGTTTTCTGGGCTGATGTGGATCCTTCCACTGCGGCTTTTACAGCTTCTCCTATTAATTTGGACACCTCGTCTGTAGTGAGTCTTGATGATTCTGAGTTATTGGATCCGGCCTCGCTTACGAATGGGCCTATGTCAGCTGGGCCGCTAGGCTGATTATTTGGGCCAGTGTTGAATATTGATGGGCCGTGGGTCGGCAAAATTATGTCGCGCCGACTGAATGATTCAGGCCCATCTCGAATTGAACTTGCTGACATTCGTGCCGCCATTATTCTTTGGGCTGATGAACCGTATTGGCCCATCGGTGCTGACAATGTCTTCGTGGATCGAAAATGTGATTCGGAATTGCTGCGTGTTAGTCTTGCCTTCGTCACTTTGCGCTCCACGTGCCAAATATCCACGTGGCTGTTGTTGAATACCTTGGACAAAACAGTTATTAATGGCGGCCGATAAGTTATTTCCTCTGGGAACGATGATGTTTGGAAAGCCAATGTGGCTTTCATTTTGCAATATTTCACATCATCGTTGATGTTTGTTTGTAGCAATTTGTAGGACCCTGTCCATGGACATCCTTTTTTATCTGCGGCAGCATAGGCGTTTCCAAAATATGTTATGTCTACTGGGCATGTAACTGGAAACGTAAAGCGGGCCTGTAATTGATCATCCGCTCGTAGCCGTGTGTCTCGTATTTCGACTTCGACACGGCCGGTGGAATTAAACGGGTATACACTTATCTCCAAGACAAGTTAATTCAAAATGAATCTCTCCTAATAGTCTTTCAATGAGTCATGGGTCATGCCACTATAGACAACCCAATCGGATATGGGTCCTAAACCGGACCCAATTTTCAATAGTTAACCTATTTGGAGATGCAAGACTTCACAGAAGGAAATCATTCTGCTATGACTACACATGAAAAGTAATTGGGAAAGAAAAAAATGAAAACTATGACACTGTTTGAACATGGTAAATACTTGTAGAACTGTCAATCGAAAACAATAGCAATGGTTCAGTATAAGATGAAATTCATATGCCGGATAGTTGACGTTATTGAGCAATGGCAACATCATAATAAGTAGCCAATGCGCTAAACTTTTTGTTTGGCGTACGATAAAAATTGATTGACAAAGTAGTATATTAATTATCAGCCATATATTTGTACCCAAAAAAATTATCAACCATATATCAATGCATGAATTGTTGATTAAATGAATATCTTTTTGACTAGGCAGAATATGCTTCCTCTCTATGTTTCTGCATTTTCAAACAAAAAAGAGTATTATTATCGATCAATAGGAATGGATAAGATCATACGCTGACACGCATCGCAGCCCATAATCTGTCGTGTTTTAGCGGAGCAAGGATCCTCTAGAGTGATTTTTTCCTAAAGTTTCCTAGAGTGCTACATTGTGTGGTTGAGATTTACTGGGATAGAAAAAAGTTCTCATATAATGAATGTTACTCTTATTCTCTAGGGTCACCAATGGAAAAAGGCATTCTTACATCTAATGATGAACTGCCGAATCTTAGATTCACTGTTAGCTCTAGAGAGAGAAAGTAAATCTTTTGTAACCTGACCTGAATATATATCTTATTAGCTTCTGAGGGTAGATAGAAAAGAAATGTCTCATTCAGATAGTCAACTTGCTCTATATTATTCATCCATTGTATGTTTCATGGTAGTGAATCTCCATTTTTGCCACAGGATGAAGTTTATCTATGTAATTATTGCCTTGTCTGGAGTTGGCATTACAGAATCAATGTAACCGTTTTTGTCTTCCCCATCAATAGGTACTTCAGCCGTATCTGTATAGTACAGTTTGCATCACCAACATGTCGACTTTGGCCCCTATCGGATACTCGATCAAATTCCCAAGTGTCATTCTATCCTCAAAGTCCCCGCTTCACTATCTTCAGCATGCAATATACATCCGAGACAAGGATTACCACAACTCAGTAGGTAGCATAAGAGCATCCTGATAAATGGTCCTAGGATGTAAGTTTGTTATACTGGAGTCGAAATTATTCTACACCACGAGAACAGCTCTTTATTATTGAGAGGGACGACCAATATAACGAGTAAATCGACAGATATTACAATATCATAGATACGGACATTCAGTATTGAGTACTACGGAGACTCAACCTGCAACTGTATTTTCCCAAAACAATTCAATGAAGAGCTTGTTTCATCCAAAGATTTACACTTTCAATGCAAAATTTCAATTCTCATTCAAAACTCGTAATAAACTCAAAATGAATTGAAAATGTTCAATGCAGACATCTATTCATGTCATCTCTCTAATTATCTATTCCTTAGCAATCACATATTATCACAAATTCTGGATCACACTACGAGATTTAGTTCTCAATAGATGATGCAAGTCAAAGAGACTTCAACCTATTTCTATTCCTAAGTGGAGCATGCTCACTCATCACAGAAGGATAAGAACAGATAGGCAACTGAGGTTTGAGCAAAAGTGTCTCTCTTGATCAAGAAGTAGACAAACTTATTACCGATTTGTCTCTCTGATCTACTCTTTCGAAACATGACATTTAACATTGCAATTATACTATCCACATTTCATGACTGAGATAGACTCCGCGAACATTTGACACAACACCCCTGAACTCCCATACAGCGCACAGGGCGCAAATGTAGTTCTAGCTACTACAATTCGAACTCCTGTCACGGTTCTGAATCTAATCTCACAAAGTGCAATGTAAGACTGATAAATCACCAAAAGTCCAATTCTGCAATTGGTTTTGAAAAATCAATTTTGAATAAAAAGTGCCAAACGTGGACTGCTTTGCCAGAATTTCAGAGTCGCACCATAAATATTTTGTTTTGGGGAATTTAGAAACCTCGGTAACAACCCAACCTCTGACTAATGTTAATTC